AAATGTTGCAAAAAGGACGCCTAAATTAGGGTATCTACGGTAGTAATTTAGTAATTAGTTGAATATTAAATGCAAACTATTATTCTTTAACTCAGTGTTTTGTTATTTAGCAAAGAACGTTTTAAAAGTGCATTTAAATCTGGTTGTTTTGAAACTGAGCTTGTTAGATCCCTTTTTGGATGAGAATAAACAGATCTACTCTAAACAAAAGCTGTTTCCTCATTGGATAATCATTAATCATGTTTGCTATTCAGATGCAAATTTTGCATCATTAGTTATAAATAATTAAAGCCATAAGGTCATAGTTCGCAGAGGATTCATAATAAATTTTCATATATTGGGAATCCTTTGTTGGTGAGACTACAGCTGAGTGTCATTTTCTGTATATTTACGGGACCTAGATATGTGTGTTTTAAAAGATATTGTGTTCAGTGTGCGAGATACAGTGAAATCCTTTGTCCAAGTAAGTATCCATCATTGTGTTTTAGATTTTGTGATGAAAACAATACCATGTGTGGAGTACCATGTGAAAGTGTAAACAAAGAAAGCGCTGTAATATACACAAAAAGATTTTCTCAGCTTCAGACAAAACCATTCGCACTGGTATTCAGTTTTTATAAGCAAGAATGTTTATCTTCTCCGAATTGAATCTGGTGTGTTATTGCTTTATATCTTTGTGGGTAATGTATGGTTGAATTGAGCATGTAATTGCGTGCTTTGTTAGGAGCATACAAGGTCAGATCAAGCCATGGTACTAGATGGTAACTATACAACCACACATGTAGCCCTGAACTGTCTTGATTTAAGCTGCTACTTTAAAATCAAATCCAGATTATGTGTGAAATAATATTAATTTAACTTGTTAGCTTTAATAACACCCCCTCCAGATATAGTAGCTCCCAATACAAAATGGTATTGTGAAACAAATGGTTTGTTTTTCTAAAACTGGAACAAACCATTGTTATTAAATAGGGGTGTTAGTTTAATGGGTGGGTGAGTGAGTGAATGAGTCCAATTTAAAAACTCATTAGTAAATCAGGCTAGCTACCTTCTACCACAAACTGCCCTTCCATTGACTATAGTTGAGAATTTTTTTTCTGAATGACTAGAAGCTCAAGTTTAGATTTGAATGTTCAAAACCAGTTTTCTCATAAATTCCAGTATTATAATTTTGTTTAATGTTGATAAAGGAATATACCATACATGTGTAAGCCCATCTTTTTACTTAGTTTAGGTTTCTTTTGTCTAAATAAGCAATATTGAATGATTCAGTATACACCAAATTGTTAGTGTTTATGCCCTTCTATGGTATCTGTTTTATTAGAAGTGTCTTCTTTTAATTGAATGATGGTTCACATCAATTACCGGTAATGTGGTAAAACAACTAACAGTTTTTGGCTTACATATGTGTACTTCCACTGGAGATGCACTGGTTACATTGGTGTATTCATGTTCGTTTCACTTTATACACGACAGTGAAAGAACAAAATAGATAGTTTCACAGTTACAGGTGTCTTTGAAATATAAATTAGTTTAAGACTCAAAAAGCTGTTACTGTTATTTAGCATTAATGGTGAACAGTGTGTTGATATAGAGATCATTTTCACCACCAGATCTTTGTTTCTTTTTCAATACTCTTTGAAATCTCCTAGAAATAAAAGATTGTTCATGCTGCTCCGTTATTACAAACACTTAATAATTAATTTTTGTGATGAGTATATCTAATTAGAGAAGCAAAGTACCTGGATTAATGTCTGCTATATATGAAGTGTGTTCAAAGCTGGCTGAGTCTGAGAGTTGAATTATCCTCATAAACAAACTACATGTATATTGTTCAACTCTCAATGTATTAGAATGTGTCTTCCAACTTGTATTTAATTTTCTATCAGAGAAAAATTTGTTTGTGATTGTGTTTCATGGTGTAATGTTTCCTGTGCCAACCTTTGTGCTCCATTGGTGTTTTGCAGACTGTTGAAGAAGCCATTGATGAAGTGATTGAAAAGCACATAGAGAAACACAGAGAGAAGAATGAGGCACCCTCTACTGACGTTCAACACGATGATGAAAATCCTGAACCAATACAGCAACTAACAGAGCAAGATTTGTTGACCTTTGAACTATTAGACATCAATGAATCCAACACACCAAATAATACACCCAGTGGTATGTATGCAATCTTTGATGTCTTGTATGTTAGAGGTAGACATCAATGAATCCAACACACCAAATAATACACCCAGTGGTATGTATGCAATCTTTGATGTCTTGTATGTTAGAGATAGACATCAATGAATCCAACACACCAAATAATACACCCAGTGGTATGTATGCAATCTTTGATGTCTTGTATGTTAGAGGTAGACATCAATGAATCCAACACACTAAATAATGCACCCAGTGGTATGTATGCAATCTTTGATGTTTTGTATGTTAGAGGTAGACATCAAAGAATCCAACACAACAAATAATACACCCAGTGGTATGTATGCAATTGTTGATGTCTTGTATGTTAGAGGTAGGCATCAATGAATCCAACACAACAAATAATACACCCAGTGGTATGTATGTAATCTTTGATGTCTTGTATGTTAGAGGTAGACATCAATGAATCCAACACACCAAATAATACACCCAGTGGTATGTATGCAATCTTTGGTGTCTTGTATGTTAGAGGTAGACATCAATGAATCCAACACACCCAAATAATACACTCAGTGGTATGTATGCAATCTTTGATGTCTTGTATGTTAGAGATAGACATCAATGAATCCAACACACCAAATAATACACCCAGTGGTATGTATGCAATCTTTGATGTCTTGTATGTTAGAGGTAGACATCAATGAATCCAACACAACAAATAATACACCCAGTGGTATGTATGCAATCTTTGATGTCTTGTATGTTAGAGGTAGACATCAATGAATCCAACACACCAAATAATACACCCAGTGGTATGTATGCAATCTTTGATGTCTTGTATGTTAGAGGTAGACATCAATGCTTCCAACACACCAAATAGTACACCCAGTGGTATGTATGCAGTCTTTGATGTCTTGTATGTTAGAGGTAGACATCAATGAATCAAACACAACAAATAATACACCCAGTGGTATGTATGCAATCTTTGATGTCTTGTATGTTAGAGGTAGACATCAATGAACCCAACACACCAAATAATGCACCCAGTGGTATGTTTGCAATCTTTGATGTCTTTGTTTATCATGCATGTCTTTCAAACAACCTCATGCACTTTTTGATACCCACATTTTTCCCATCTCAAACAATCATTGTTTCAAGACTAGTATATTTTTGTGGTCCCCATATGAGATTCACATCTAGAACAATTGGCATTTAAAGTCTATAGAGAGACTGTTTCCTGGCAGTCTGCTTATTCTCATGTATGGTATTACCACCTTGTTGCTTGGCATCAATAAGTATCATTTGCATATCAATGAAACCAATATCATTTGTTGTACAAATAAGGGTCAGTGTTTTGTGTACTGTGAATGTATTAATTAATCACAGGTTTTTAATTTCGCTATTTTTGTAACACTTTTAAATTATATGCTAAAAAAGTAGATTACTCACACACATGGTATTTACTTTAACAACATTAATTAAACAACAGACAAATTTTGTGTCCACAAATACCATTAGGTCATTAGATTGCAATTTTCTTTTTAAAAATCATAATAAAATAATGTGTCTGAAACTATATTATACGTTACTATATACGTTGAATTTTTAGACAAAAAAATAACCACAATTTGAGGCATTTGTGCCTCATGAATGCTTTAACTGACCAACTTGCTATTTTGCATGTAGCATGTATGACTATAACATCATCTGAGAAAAATAACATATATCAGTGAGTACTTATTAGGTCATATTCAGCTTACAAACTAGACTTGACTAAACAGCATTAACTAACTTTAAGATTGCTTGTAATTCACGCTGTTTGGTCTGTGAACACAGCATATAGGTTATAGTTATATTCATTATATACTGTATAGTTATTTGGAAGGCCATTTACAATTATTGGGTGGCTGGGAGTTGGAATTAGGGTTCAGGTTAGGATGGGGGTGTGTCCTTAAGGGAATCTTTCCAACAGCAAAAGAAATGTTCACTTATGTCATAATTTGTGAGTGTTTTTCAATAAATTATTTTGCGTTTGTCCTCAACTCACAAAATTCCCCCCAAATTGGTCTATTGAGAAATAAATGCAATGTCAGAATACTGTTTCTAACATTTTGCTGTTGTCTTGTTCCCAGATTTAACGCCAAGGATCTCTCCACTACCATCACTAGATGGACTTTTACTACAGCAACAGATATCCAGGTGCAGTTCTAATAGTAGTAGCAGTCTTAGTGTGGAGATCATTGACTCACCTGATGCAGAGAATATGGTCACAGAGGCAATACAACACCTGGAAATCACAGATGGTACATATACTAATATATATTTGTAGTGTACCACATCACTTTCACAAGTTGGTCTAAACTGACTCAGTAAAAAACATTATTTTAAATTCTGTATTGTGAAGATGAGCATTCTAAAAATTTCACTGTTTCTTATACGTATTTAAAAAAGTAGTTTCTTACTAACTGTGCATGCATCAGAAACATGTTTTTTTTTTTTTCTGGATCCTCATCAAATACTCAAATTTGAATTATTTGCAGTATATACTTAGAACCCATGTAATTTCAAAAGAGAAATTACTGCGAGATTTGCAAGTCAGTAAAATTTACAAATTTTGTACGAGTGAAAATATTTCTGGGGTCCTACATTATCCTCAAAAATAACACCACATCCTGAAATCACAAAATTCTAATTGGGAAAATTAGACTGTGCAGACAAAATAAACGTGTCTATTGTTGCAGTATAATCTATAGAGCAATAAATATTTACTAAGCTAGACTTGCAAACAACCATTCATTGTACAATTATTTATATTGTAGAAGCTGGTATAGAAGATGAGACTGCGAGTATATTAAGCCAGATATCTAATGATACATTGGATGATTTCTGTGTTGTACCATTACCAGATTGCTTTAATACTGATTTACCATTAACCAAATCCATATCTGATGCGGCTACTGAAAACGAGGTATGTAATTTAAATGTTCAATACATTGTTGTTGAGGACTATACTGCTTTACCTTTCTGCGTCAATGTTGTGTCAATAAAATATCAATGTTGATAATTTGAGCATGTTCACATCTAATTACTGTGAAGGTGATTGATGATTTCTCTGCCTAAAGATCATGTCTAAGTGAAATTTATTCTGCTACAAAGATTGCAAAATTTAAAAACATTTGTCTTGCAGTCTTGATTGCTCCTCTAGTTAGGACATCTTCTTATAAGCTTAATCTCACAGTGAATTGAAGGCTGTTTTTAAAATGGAAAACCTAATACACTAAATGCATTGTACAGTTCAGAAGATTGATTGATTGCTTTTCCTTTAATTTTTACAACAGAGTACATTCAGTGAGTGTGATTCAGTGGAGATGGAGAGACAGAGTGTTGATGACATTCTTGCTACTTCACATACGAATACTCAGCAGGAACCCCTTATACCAGTTACATTGACAAGCAATGCTGCTTCTACCGTTGTCTCAACCATAACTGTTGCTATCAGTCCAGCGAGCACTACTTGGACTATGTCAGGGGAAACCCACCCAGTAGAGGAACAAGATAAAGAGGAGATTCATTCCCAAAATGTGGAAGAGTTGACATCCTCTGAGGGTGATGCACCTAATGGGGCAGAGGATGAACCAGAGGGTGCTTCTGCAACTGTTGATGTAGATGACCAGAAAAAGGAGACAAGAGAAGAGACGATCCCAGACCATACTGGATGGGAAGAGAATACATCATCAGACAACCTTGATAGAGAAGAACCATCGTGAGTTCTATAACTTGTTGAATTTTAAATTCAAGATGAACCTCGCACATGCACTACTAATACTAGCAAAGAATGCAAAAATACTGCAGATGAAAACATAGAATAATTTTCAGGTCAATTGTCCAACAAGCTACTCTGTTAAATACAGGCATAACACCTAAAAACATGCTAACCTATCAAGTAGAGTGCATATCAAAGGATTACATTTTGAATTTACCAGCATCCTATTTTGATTGTATTCCATAGATTTGATCCAGTTCGTGCTATGGAGTATGCTGGAGGATTGGCCGTACAAGCATTTAGTGCAGCTGCTGGCACGGCTAACAATGTGGTACATGCAATATTTAATCAGGTAAGAGAAAAATCTAGCAACATGAGTTTGTATTACACTGCCCACCTTTAGTTGAACAGTGAACCCTTGTAAAAATGGTTTGATCTAACCAATTTCAAACACATAACGTGCCTACCAGCAATTTGGCAAGAAAACAAATGACGAAATCAAAAAAAGAACAAGCCCAAAATGACAATTACTTGTTCACAAATAGTTTGATTAGACCAAGTTACCCGACTTTGTCAATTAAGTTCAAATGATATAGTATTTACAAAAATAAAAATGTTGCTGGTTGTGTCACCTTGAGTAATATGAATTTTATAGATTATTCAACTTGTACTTTACTATTACAGAAAGTACCACCAAGACCAGAGTGGCCCAAACAAGACGGTAAGAATCCACCAAGTGCCATGGAGCAGCTTATTGACATGGGATTCTGTAATCGACAATTCAATGCACAGCTACTTGAAAAACATCACAACAATTTGGAACGAGTGGTGCAGGAACTCCTAAATGAGATGGACAATGAGTGGTCCAACAATAGACATTAGATGCTTCATATATCCCTGTATTGTTATTGTTAATGCATTGAATTCTACCATTCTACCAGACTGGGAAGGGTAGCTGTCATTGTGGCTCCAATAGTTTATTTCAAGTTATGATACAAATTTTCGTACCCGTAATACCGCATACATCTGGAATATTATTGAGATATTATTAAGATTTGTCTACTTAGAACCATATAAGGATTTCTAAAAATAAGAAAAAACTTAATCTGGGCTAGCAATTGAATCAAGTCAGAGTATTCTTATTTGTTCAAATTATTAAAATTTGTTTAGACACAGATTGAAATTTTGAAATTACTTGCTGTTGCTTATCTTTTAAACAAGATATTTGTTTTTTTGGTTTTAACCTAACTGGAAACCATAATTCATGTTATATTAGTTTTTCAATATATTAATACATATTCATTGCATACAAGTCTACATATTGGGTACACTGTTTAGTTTTGCTGCTACATATTTTGATAGTGATTATAAATATCATACTCAAAACTTTGTAATATTGTGCATGAGTGTCTTGTACTAATATTACATATATTTCAGCTTTTTACCTCATAATGATTGTGATTTGACCCAAATAATGCTTCCTTTGTATTCAGGATTGTGTTCAGTGTATGCAAAAAATATTCACTAATGAAACAAATTAAGTTTCCATAGTTACCTGGTCTATTTTAAACTCTGCATAGGTCAAATAAACAATTACTGTCACCTACTTTAGAGTTTACCATTTGAGAGCATGTTTGTTTACTATCAGAATGGCAGATTTTTCAAAATTGGTGAACATTTTATACTTTTGACGTATAACAAAGTGTGGGTTTGATTTATAGAAGTCTCCTATACATTTAAACAAGTATAGTGTTTTATGTAGGTTTTCAGTCTACACAGGGTTTCTTTATAAACTGCTTCAATTTTGTAAAATCTTGTAGCAGTTTACTGGAGTCCACATTGATGCCATTGAAATCTCGAAAAAATTCCTAGCAGCAGAAATGAAACGTGTTGCACTATTGTTATATCCTGTTAGTCCTGCAGTGTCCTCTACAGGCTGCTGCAGTGTCCTTTAATGTCTGATGCTAGAAAGGTTTCTAATTTGAAAGTTGATTAAACTAGCAAAGAAGTTCTTGTTAAGAATTTTGGGATATTTCTTGACTAGCAAAATTAAAGCGGTTTACACTAGTCACGCAACTATTGCGAACTTTTACGTAATTCATGGTGAATACAGAAATTTATATTTATAGATTTCACTTTATTGTTAATAGTATTTGTTTTCTTGGCATTGTTTTTTTGTTGCACTATTATATACTGATTGTCAAATTTGTACTATTTACATTGTCAAGGTGATGGATTAATAATAATTTTTTCCTTTTGGTCATTTCATAAATTATTTTTAAGCATTATTGACCCCTTTATGTTAAAAAAATGCATTTACGTCACTTTAAAATGTTACAAATTTACAGTATGGATGGAATTGGATGCATTTCCAATGATTAAGGACAAGTGAACAAAGTGATGTAGTTACTAAGTTTGAATTGGTATGATTGGTTTCTGAATACATAACAAATAGTGATTGATGGATATTTTAAAGAGTACTTTTGTAGTGCAGTAAACTCACTTGCAAACCATTCAATAATTTGTACCTAATCGTAGAATGTACTTGTCAGTGAAATCTGTTATATTTTCATGGGTGGTGGTCATCGCAAACATGTGCCATTGAATATTGTGGAAATAAACAACACATTTGACTCGCATGCAAATACCTTGCTATGTATAGGGAGGGACCCACTCTTCATAAGTGCCACTGTTAAATTTCATGTAATTGTATTTTGCTGCATTGCTGCAAATGTGACCTATATATTGAACTTGATGCAATGACCGAGACAGTTTAAAATAGTAAAAACTACTTGGATTTTGAGAAATAAATGACATACTACCGGTAGTTAGGCCAGACTTTTATTATCCCTTGTTTTGTGAACCCGCCGAATGAACAGGAGCCGAAAATGAAATAAAAATAAAATTTTATTTCAGCTTAATTTCTCGCGCCCGCTGACTTCTGAGTGCAACTACCGGTAATTGCTAAAAAAAAAATATTTATACATGTATCTTCATTTTTTTATGCCCGCCGCCCAACAAATCCAAGTTGCATTTTCATGGGAGTATCAAGATCTATACTTTATGTGCGTTGGTTGACAGTGAATCTCGGGTATTGACCTCTCTGTGTGCTGCTTGCGACTACTAGGTGAACATGGCGGCAGCGTGGTGTCACGCCTTGAAACTCTGTCCTCTAAAACCGAGAAATCCCTCATTAATGCTGAAAATTGTGCCACCATTGGCGACATTTACCAACCAGGTTGCACATGGAATAAAATTTTCTCCGATCAATGATCTCACTTACAATTCTTTGAGAATCTCAAAAATCTAATGGAAAAAAAGAATTAATTTTATTTTTCCCCCGCCCTCTTCAAAAAAATTGATATATAAAAACTAGAGAAACAAGGAATAAAAAAAAGTCTGGCCTTATATGTTCAATATTGTATATAAGGGGCTTGTCTAAAGCTTGTTATTCATATTTTTGTCAGAAGCATATTTAGTATTAGAAGCATAATTAGTTGTTTTATTTGTCCTTACTTTTATTGTTTGTATTTCTAATTATTGTTGCATTTTAAGTGTGTAATTGAGACTGCAGGAAAATCACAGAGGAGCTTGTTTTTGTGTTAGTCCTCTTTATTTTGAACAGGCTCAACAACCAATCGCTAGGTTGCCTTCCCATGAATTACACAGACACTGAAGTACACTTGTCAATATTGTCTCTTTTTCCAGTGAAAGTGTGTCCACACAATACTGAAAACTCAAAACAGTGATATTGATGTTGTGCACATACTCTTTTTGTAGTATAATATGCTATGTTTGTTTTATTTGTATCACATGTACTGAGGTGAATGACAGTGTTTGGTCTACAGCCAAAATAAGTCAGATTTAATGATCCTGTATACAACAAATGAAGTTTGGGGTTGATACAGCAAATATGTATTTGTCAGCATCAGAAATAGTTTATTGCACCACAATCTCAGGTTCTTTAGAGTACTAAAGACTTGATGATTCAGGTAAAATAGTTAGAACCTCTGTAACTTTCTTTTGCTCAGTTATAATTAGTGCAGTTGGTTTGACAGCTTGGCTGATCTGGAATTGTGTAAGGTTGATACATTCAGTGACACATTGATATGGAATTGTGATTGCCAAAATTGGCTTGCACATGTTTTTGCATATTTTTATGGAATTCTCTTTAAATTTCTTAATTTTGGACCAAATGGGACATAATTTCTTATTAGTTGCACGTCTTTAATCAACATTAGTGAAAATATATATGGAAAAATTGATGTTCACAGGGTTGGATGTACGAAGATAGGATTTGGAGAGGATGAGAGGGTTAATATCAACATGTGACAATGTAAAGAAAAAAAGCTATCATTCAGTTCAACCTCTGAAGTGCAACATTCTTACTACTTGAATTCTGTATATATATATTATCTAGTCTATATAATTATTACGCCTTTGTGTATTTTATGCATTTACATGAAGTATTGTATGGGATTACGATGCATGAATCCAGGCATAGTGTGATGTGTGGGATTACTGTGCATGAATCCAGGCATAGTTTGATGTGTGTATGACGAATGAATGAGATATTTATGTAGAGAATGAAGGAATGTATCACTGTGAATTGTAGTAATAAACTATATACATCCAAACTGTCTTTGTTGCGTCTTTATCAGTGGTTGTGTTATATTCTGGTAGTAATGCTCGCACAAATGGCTGTCTAGATCTCATGGAGACTAAGGTTTGTTTCTGAATCTCAAATCGTGTTTCATTTCCTCATTTATTTCATGAGTAGACAATTTTTGTGCTAAAAATCAAGCATTTTTGTCATTTCGGAATCGGATCTCAGTCGTGCATAAACAGATTTTGTTTGAACTTGGTAGGTACATTGGATATTATTGGGCCTTGCTGATCCAGTGCCATATCTCTGACATGCCTTGACCAATTACATTCAAACTTTATATACCGGGGGTACATGTCATACATCATGTGACATAATCGTCTGATGATCAGATTCAAGATGGCCAAATGGCGGTCATTTTAATGTTGAAAATCCAGCATTTCTGTCATTCAGAAGCCAGATCTTGGTTGTATATGGACAGATTTTGTTCAAACTGGTACAAACATTTGACATGTCTGTCTGTTCATGTTCAAACTTTATATGTCTACCATGTAGTGCAATTATTTTGATTTTTACTTGATTTAGTCTTTCATTTACTTAAATATCGAAGATTGTAGTGCTTTTGAATTTTTTATTTTAAAGTTTAATTGACCATAATATTCCCACCAAATTGTACCTTCATGCATCTCCTAAGATTGTTTTTATTTTTGACTCCCGTGTGCGAAGCACAAAAGGGAGTCTTTGCAGTTACCCTGTCTGTATGTCTGTATGTATGTATGTCACTTTTTTTGTTCCACCGTTATCTCAAGAACCACTAATCAAATTTTGGTGAAACTTGGTACATAGATGCTCTGGGATAATGCGCAGAGTTGATTAGGTTTTGGTAAAAATCTATGAATATTAATTACCTAATTTGCATGATAATTAGCTGATTTTTAGCTGTTCCAAGACTGTTCCACTGATATCTGAAGAACCACTCATTGGATTTTGATGAAA